ATGAAATAGATTTACTCTAAGAAACAGAAAGAGTAAAAAATAAGAACTACTTTGAAATTACTGTATCTGAATATAGTGGCCAAGTCTTTTTTACATTTACGTGTTAGCATCAGGGAAGTAGCTAACAGAATTGGAGAAAAATTTGCCATTTCTAATTATTTCACCCATGATTCTGGTAAATTTTGTATTGCCTTAAGCTCTACAACAACCAGAAAAGTTACATACTTGCTAAGTAACTTGTCTCCACAAATTATAGAGATAATGAGGCAGTTGTAATCGAACAATATTTTGCCCAATATGAATTTCCAGAGGTTGTAGGAATAATTGATGGGACACAAAAATTGATAGGATCTTACATGATGATTTAGAAGTGCTTGAAAAAAATATGAATATACCTCCATATGTGCCTTCAAATCAATGATATATGTCTCTCAAAATGTCAAGAAGCTTAAAACAACATGACAACCAATTGATACCAAAATTTTAACAAAATATACTCCATTATAAAGGTCATAAAACATAGGTAATCTAAATATTTTATAACTGTTTAAAATCGATTAGTTTTCTGCGTAATTTTAAAATTGCTGTAAAATTTAATTCTACTTTACGTGGTTCCATGACTTATTCAAAGGTAGAGACCAAAAAAATTAATAAGGTATTATCAAGAAATGTTTTAGTAATGTTCTATATTTTGTAAAAATAAAACGTTTATCTACCAAAGATTTCAATGTTTTATTAATTGAATCAAAAAACGAAATTATTTGAACCTAATTAAAATAAAAATAAATATTTATTCATAACGAACAAGTAACAAAGTAAATATATATTACAAATAAAACAGGAACTCTTCTTAAAAATAAGTAATACTTGTCAGTTTATCTTCTTTTTCTTCTTAAAATTTCATTTTGTTCATGAAGCAATTGATTTCCATGTTTAAATATTTAGTAAAAGTAGTCAATTACCAATACAGATCGATCAGCATCGATTACTACACGTATCCTCTCTTTAAATTTTATATGATATCTGAATTTCAATCAGTTTTTTTACTAACAGGAAAGAGACAGCAACTAATTGGAAATGATTTATTCAATTCAGTAATGATAACGATGTCACCAGCAAGAATTATATGAAAGATACCAATTTAATTATTTATGCACGTAATATAAATTACAAGAATATGTAGAAATAAATAAAGTATACTTTGTTGCTGTTGTTAATATTATGTGAACATATTCATCGTTGCTTTGTCGAGACCTCATCACACGTCAACAGAACATTTCTTTTATTAGATTATACAGGACAGGATGCTCACTTTCTAGTATAATCTCATCGTAACTTAATTGCTCTTGATTTACTTGCTGTTCTTGTTGTTGTTGTTGTTGTTGTAACTGTTGCTCTTGTTGTAGCTGCTGCA